GAGAGTCCAGGAGCAGTCCAGCCCCCAAGCCCGTCAGCGTTTCCAAGCGTCATAAGGAAGTTGTCCTAACAAAGTCCACGTTGACCCGTCTCGGGCATGCAACTTTGGAATGACTCACCTGCTCTATGCGCTACTTCCCTCTGCCCTTTCCTTTCCACTAACCAACTCCCTCCGTCCGGCCCTGGACAATACTCGCTCCATGCGACAGAAGGAGGTGTTGGATTCGAAAATCAACAAGAAAATCTGACATTGCAATTTTGTCTCTCGACAGTTCAAGTGTGTCACTCATCATGTTTCCTTAGGGTGGTTTCGGATGACTGGTGTTAACTCATTGCAGTTTATCAAAACTGCCTTTTATGGGTTTATATTTTGTAGGGTCATAACTCAGAAGGCTTTACCTAACAAAGTCAGGTTTATAGTTTTTCTTTACATTTAGGACTATTTGTCATCTTACTTTCGTGCATGGTGTAAGGTAAAGGTTTTTGTTTATTATTTACTTAGCATTAATTGCTTCAAAGCTATTAAGACTATTCTTGGGACCAATGGTGTAGCATAGTACGTTAAACTTCTGCCTGTGGCACTGGCATGCCATATGGGCACTGATTCAAGTCCCAGCTGCTCCATTTTTTTAAAGATTGATTTATTTTTATTTTATTTTCATTGCAAAGTCAGATATACAGAGAAGAGACAGAGAAGAAGTTCTTCCATTCACTGATTCACTCCCCAAGGGGCCGCAATGGTCAGAGCTGTGCCGATCCAATGCCAGGAGCTTCTTCCAGGTCTCCCATGTGGGGCTTTGGACCATTCTCTACTGCTTCCCCAGGCCACAAGCAGGAGGCTGGATGGGAAGCGGGGGGCCAGCAGGATGTGAACCGGCTCCCATATAGGATCCTGGTGCGTGCAAGGTAAAGACTTTAGCCATTAGGCTACTGCACCAGGCCCGGCTGCTCCATTTCTGATGTGGTTTCTGCTAATGCTGGGAAAGCACTGGAGGGTACTCAAGTGTCCAGGCTCCTGAACTCATGTAAGGCACCTGGAAGAAGCTCCTGGCTTCAAATCAGACCAGCTCCAGCCGATGCAAGCATCAGGAGCATGAACAGGAGGAGGAAACATCTCTCCCTCTCTCTAACTCTTTCAGATAAATATAAACAAATCTTTTTAAAAAGGTATATTTCACAGAAAGAGGCCACAAAAGATAGGCTGATCTGAGCCAAGAGTTTCCTCTGAGCCTCCCACGTGGGTGCAGGTGCCCAAATTCTTGAGCTACTTTTGCTGCTTTCCCAGGCCATAAATAGGGATCAGAAGTGGAGAAGGCAGGACTTGAACCTGTGTCCATATGGAATGCAGGCACTTACAGGTGGAGGATTAGTTTATTAAGCCATTGTGTCAGCCCCCATAGTTTTAATTATTAACTTTTATGTTTAAAAACACATTTTACTTGAAGGGGAGAAAAAGAAATGAGAAATCTGACAATCATTGATTCACTCCCCAAATGGCAGGCAAGTCTGGGCCAGGCTGCAGCCAAGAGACAGGAGTGCAACACAGGTGTGCACACCGGGGGCAGGGACCCAGTTACAGGTGTGCACACCGGGGGCAGGGACGCGGTTACAGGTGTGCACACCGGGGGCAGGGACGCGGTTACAGGTGTGCACACCGGGGGCAGGGACCCGGTTACAGGTGTCCACACTGGGGGCAGGGACCCGGTTACCGAGTCATCACCTGTGGCCTTCCAGTATACACGTTAATAAGAAGATGGAAACGAGTGGAACCAGGACTCAAATCTAGGGATTTCAGTATGGAATGCAAACATCCCTAGCTGTAAGTTAACCCATTTGCCAAGTACCTGCCCTGATCATCTTCAAAGACCAGTTATGCTAGGACCTTCCCAACTTCATACAAATGTTGGGATCAGCTTGTCAGCTTCTATTAAAAATAAAAGTCTTGGGGCCCAGTGGTGTGGCCTAGCGGCTAAAGTCCTCGCCTTAAACGTGCCAGGATCCCATATGGGCACCGGTTCTAATCCCGCCAGCTCCACTTCCCATCCAGCTCCCTGCTTGTGGCCTGGGAAAGCAGTCAAGGACGGCCCAAAGCCTTGGGACCCTGCACCTGTGTGGGAGACCCGGAAGAAGTTCCTGAATCCTGGCTTCAGAGCGTCATAGCATCGGCCGTTGCGCTCACTTGGGGAGTGAATCATCGGACGGAAGATCTTTCTCTCTGTCTCTCCTCTCTGTAGATCTGATTTTCAAATAAATAAATCTTTAATTAAGTAAATAAATAAAAGCCTTGGCATTTGGGAAAGCAGGTAGGGCATCCATTGGAATGGCCACATCACATCTCTGAGTGCTGGGTCCATGTCCCAGCTCAATCTTTGATTCTGGCTTCCTGCTGATGCACAGCAGGTGATGTCCAAGTTCTTGGGTTGCTGTAACCCACAATTTAGACAAGATGAAGTTCTGAGCTACTAACTTGGCCCTGGTTGAGCCATGGCTGGTGCAACAACTTACACAGTGAGTGAATTTTGAGGATTAGCTTCTCTGCCTGCTACAGGCAGGGAGCTGGATGGGAAGCGGGGCTTCCGGGATTAGAACCAGTGCCCATATGGGATCCCGGGCATGCAAGGTGAGGACCTTAACCACTACGCCATCGTGCTGGGCCCTAAAAAATGAATCTTAAAGAAACATTTCTTTACTTGAAAGAGTTACAAAGAATTGAAATCAAAGTACAGTTTTTTCATGGTATGACTTGGGCCATTCTCCCACTGCTTTCCCACACCATTGGCAGGCAGCTGGATCAGAAGTGGAACAGCCAGGACTTGAACTGGTCCCATTACACCATAACACCGGCCCTGCAACATCTTCTAACACCTAATAGAATCTGTCTCTCCACCTGTGCAGGTTTGTTTCCTTGTTCTAGCTGATTTGGGACTGGTGAATGTGCTTTATTGTGCTGCAAAAGGAGGGAAAAAATACCGTCCTTTCAACCATTTTAGATTCTCCAGTTATGGTCCTGTAATCTAAACTGACAGAAGGCAAATTAACATGAGGGAATGAGTAGTTCAAAGCAGTGGTTAGAACGGCTTTACATGCCAGATTTGGGGCCTCTGAGCAGGGACGGTGACAAGCAGTGGGGTGGGCAGGGTTGTCTGGCAAGGTCTGATTTGCAGATACAATCCTGTGCTTTACTTCTGCGGTAGTTAACAGTCACAGAGTCGTATTTCTTGGTAATAAACAAAGACACAAATTTTTCAAAGTCAATTCCCTTGATGGAAACATGCACCCTGCTTTTACGGCTTTATCTGTTTCTGGTGGGTCCCAGTGGCCTTCAGTTTCAGAAAGCACACTCCAGTGTGGAATATTCTAGCATCCTTCAAGGCCAAAAGCTTTCTGTCCTCGGCCTTCAGTCACTAGTTAATAAGGAACGTTTGGGGCTATATATATATTTTTTAATCGTAAAAACAGGAACCTTTGAAACAAGTTCAAATTTCTGTTTCCTCTGGGAACTTTTAAAATATACATATTGGGCCCAGCAGCGTGGCCTAGCGGCTAAAGTCTCTCCGCCTGTGTGCCTTGAACGCGCTAGGATCCCATATGGGCGCCAGTTCTAATCCCAGCAGCTCCAATTCCCATCCAGCTCCCTGCTTGTGGCCTGGGAAAGCAGTCGAGGACGGCCCAAAGCCTTGGGAGACCCGTGTGGGAGACCCAGAAGAGGCTCCTGGCTTCAGATCGGCATAGCATTGGCCGTTGCGCTCACTTGGGGAGTGAATCATCGGACGGAAGATCTTCTTCTCTGTCTCTCCTTCTCTCTGTATATCTGACTTTCCAATAAATAAATAAATCTTTTAAAAATATATATATATCTATATATTTATTGGAAATGCAGAGCAAAATGAGAGGGGGAGAAGAAGAGAAACTGACAAGGACTGATCCTTTTTTTTCATTTTTTTTTAAATTATATTAATTCTTTTCTTTAATTTTCTAAAGATTTTTAAAATTTATTTTTATTGGAAAGGCAGATATGCAGAGAGGAGGAGAGACAGAGAGAAAGAGCTTCCATCTGCTGGTTTACTCCTTAAGCAGCCAGAATTGAGCTGATCAGAAGCCAGGAGCCAGGAGCTTCTTCTGGGTCTCCCACGCGGGTGCAGGGTCCCAAGGCTTTGGGCCGTCCTCGACTGCTTTCCCAGGCCACAGGCAGGGAGCTGGAAGGGAAATACCATACCGTCCCTGTGGCCACATGGGATCCTGTTGTACATGCCAAAGTGAAGACTTTAGCCACTAGGCTACCGCACCTGGCCAGGAATTATCTTCTGTTTGTTCAATGTCCACACCGGCGTGAGTAGACCAGGTCAGGTTGAAGCCTGGAGCCCGGAAAGTGATCAGCCTCCGGTGTGGGTGCCAGGGTCCAAGCACTTGAGCCCCACGCTGCTGTTTGCCCAGGTGGATTAGCAGTGAGCTGGATTGGAGTAGATGGGATGTGGGCATCCTGGGAGGTGGCTGAACCCCCTCACCACAGCACCCACCCTGCACTGTTCCTTAGTGACTGCCCCCTCCCTCTGCCTCCTCCTGCTTCACATGATCTCAGTGAGTCAGTGAGCCTTTGATGCCCTCAGGACTCTGGACAGCCTGCTGGTGCCGGCCACCCTGCTGACTCATTCACTTTTCCCTTGTGACAGGGACTTGCCTGAGGGCAGGAAGCAGAACTGAGGCCTCCAGGGAGCCAGGTAGGTGCAGGACAGAGCAGGGGAGGCTCACCTGCAACCGTGTGCAGGGAGAGAGGGGCTGCCCCTCTGCTGTGTGAAGGATTGTGAGGACGGCACAAAGTGGCACGTTCAGCCTGGAAATACAGAGTGGACTAAAATGATGTCTGCAAAGGAGAGCGAGGGGAGGGAAGAGTATGGGGGGTGGGAGGGGAGTATGACTGCCTTCTTGGAACATTTAAAATCTGTTCTCTTTACAGCAACACAAATAAACAGCTAACGACAAACAAATAAGAAGCGAGTTTACCTGGGAACGGCAGGAGGCTGCAGCTCAGGATATGAACAAGTATGTACTGTGAACACACAGAGGGACAGGCAGCGTAGCAGAGATGCTTAATCCACTGTCCTGTGATGGCTAAAGCGCCCTGGCCTGGGGCAAGGAAGGCACCAGCGGAGAGACGGCTGATGCCACTCTGCAAGTGAGTGAAAGAAATCTTTCAAAATTTTGTTTTGATGAATAAAACTGAAGGGCATAATTGAGTTATATATATTCAATACATACAAGCTACATATATTCAAAGTATACAAACTGATGTTTCTAAGCACGTGGATACCCATGAAACACATTACTACTACCAAGATAATAAGCATTTCCACCACTCCCAAAAGCTTTTCCTTGCTTTATTCATCCAAGATGTCTTCTTGTCCTCATTCGATCACTAAATGTTTTTCTTCTTTTAAAAAGGTTTATCTGAAGAGCAATTAAAAATAAAAGAAAAACTAGAGTAAAAAAGAAAAAAAAAAAGATTTATCTGGGGCCCAGTGCAGCAGCCTAGCAGCTAAAGTCCTGGCTTTGAACGCGCCAGGATCTCATATGGGCACCGGTTCTAATCCTGGCAGCCCCACTTCCCACCCAGCTCCCTGCTTGTGGCCTGGGAAAGCAGTTGACGACGGCCCAAAGCCTTGGGACCCTGCACCCATGTGAGAGATGCGGAAGAGCTTCCTGGCTCCTGGCATCAATTTGGTTCAGCTCCAACCATTGTGGCTGCTTCTTGAGTGCAGCAGATGAAAATCTTTTTTCCTTTCCGTCTCTCCTCCTCTCTGTATATCTGCCTTTCCAATGAAAACAAAATAAATCTTAAAAAAAAAAAAAAAAGACTTCTTTAAGGATTTGACATTGTGGCTCAACACGCTAGACCTCCACCTACAAGTGCTGGCATCCCATATGGACACTGGTTCATTTCCTGGCTGCTCCACTTCCAATCCAGTTCCCAGCTAATGACTTGAGAAAACAGCGGCCGATGGCCCAAGTCTTTCGGTTCAGCACGTACACGGGAGACCCGGAAGAGGCTCATGGTTCCTCCTTTCTTTGGGGACACTGTTGTTGTTGTTGTTCACTGGTCTAGTGGCTCATTGTCATCTCACTTGGGCAGCAGCCACAGTCTCAGCAATGCCTTCATCTCATCCCCCTTCACCTGCTGAGATGTCAACAAGTTATTCTACAACAGAAATCCTGAGAAGGCCACTCCCACACAACTGTAGAAACAGGTCGAAAGTCTGGCACAGCAAGGTGGGCCCTCATCCGTCATTCACTCACTCACTGAGTAAACACTACGTGCTGATTACGTGACAGACGCTAAGCCAGGTGACTGTGGGTGTCTAGCGTTGAAATAACAGACATATTCTTGTATCTTCATGGAGTTTACATTCTATTGGGCCGTTGGGGGGAGGGAACCACAGAGAGATTAAACACAAAATAAGCAATAAAATTCCAGCCTGGATAAACACAAGGCTGTTGTGAAAGTAGTGAATGGGGCATTGTGATTGCCAAGGTGGCATTGATGCAGCCTAACACAGGGACTGGAAATGGCCAGGCGGCGGAGAGCAGCTCGGTATCTTTTCCCCCTAAGAACTGCGGGGCTCAGTGTAGCTGGAGGCAGTGAGGCTGCAGGAAGCTCAGCTGTGGCTGCTCCAGCCCTGGCATCTTATTGCCACACGGGCAGGCTACTCCCAAATCTAGCCATAAACAGCCACCCAACAGCCTCCGTCTTCTCACCTTTCTCCTGCCTCTGCCCGCTCTCCCAATCTGGACAATCCCATTTACCCCCTGATAATGGAACCTTCTCTGCCCTTCCTGCCCTCCCTCCTCCTGCCCACCACGAAAGCCTGCACTCATGGCACCCTCTCTTTGTTAATTAATTTATTTTTAACACTTTTGAGCAAAGTGACAGAGTGCTGCTTCTACCTGTTGGTTCACTCCCCAAGTGGCCCCAATATCTGAGTTTGAGACAAGTTGAAGCCGGGAATTCCATCTCGGGCACCCAGGCTAGTGACAGAGGCCCAAGCACTTGAGCCATCTGGGGCTGCTTTTCCAGGTGCATTAGCCATTAGCAGGGAGGTGGACTGGGAGCAGAACAGCCAGGGCTTGAAGTGGCATTCCAACATTGAATGCCAGCGTTATAAGCAGTGGCTTAATTGGCTGCACCAGAATGCCAGCCCTTCCCTTTTTTTTTTTTTAAGATTTATTTTTATTGCAAAGTCAGATATAGAGAGGGGAGGAGAGACAGAGAGGAAGATCTTCCATCCCATGATTCTCTCCCCAAGTGAGCACAACAGCTAGTGCTGTGCTGATCCAAAGCCAGGAGCCTCTTCCGGGTCTCCCACGCGGGTGCATGGGACCCTGTACCCATGTAGGATACCCGGAAGAAGTTCCTGGCTCCTGGCTTCGGACCAGCATAGCATCGGCCGTTGTGCTCACTTGGGGAGTGAATCATTGGACGGAAGATCTTCCTCTCTGTCTCTCCTCCTCTGTATATCTGACTTCCCAATAAACAAAGAAATCTTTAAAAAAATATATCAAAAATGAAATTTAAACAATTAAAAATAAAACATCTAAAGTTTAGGCAAATTGGTTATATGGTGTTTGTAATATTACTCCAATTTTCATAAATACATGTGCTATTTCATAACAGAAACATGCTAAAGAAGTTATTTCTAAAAGGAAAGACTTTTCAAAGTTTGAACTTCAATACAAAAAGAGTACATTATTTTGCTGTGTTCCTTTAGGCATTCAATATCAATGTTTCTTGCCTGTAATAAAGTTACCCTCATAACTATGTCGAGATAAACAGTCCAAATAGGAAATATAAACTCCACATTTGAAGAATCATCTGGTAACATCTAGAAAACAACCGTGATTTTAAAACTGGAACCATAATTCTCTCATGTGTATATATATTCTTAATTGAAAGACACATGGCTAAGTAAAAACCACTGAAACTTTCAGGAACAAACAAAGAAAACAACAACAAAAACAACCGCCTTTCCTTAAAGGAATTGCGCAGGCCACACCAGTTTGCCCAGGTGCTTTTGGCTCTGTGTTTCATGGCTGCCAGGAAGGTCCCCCTCCACCCACTCCCCAGTAAAACAAAACGGGGGGGGGGGGGGGACACCTTCTATTTAGTGAACAAACACAACTCAACACAAGACCCAACAAGGTTAGACTAAATTCCTCATCTGAGAACTTTTCCACTACTGCTCAGTTCATTTACAAAGCACCTCCCACCCCCCCACAACTGAAAATTCATGTTGTTTACAGCACACGCCCTTCAGAAAACATTCTGCTGCGTTATCTCCAAGTGACTGCCGCTCTGGGGAAAACACTAATCAGAGACACACTAAACACAGAGGGTTTCTAACTTAGTTCTGGCAACTTCTGGAACCCGGGTGAAGTTCTAGCGCAATCTGTGACAGGAGGATGACTCAGCAGGTGTGTGCACACCCACTGCTGGGCTTACAAAAACAATCCATACGGTGGGAAAAACACTTTAGAAATTACTCCCAAATCGTCTTACATTGCTTCCCAAACTTTTTTTTTTTTTTCCTTTTTAAACAACTACATTCCTATCTACTGTTGATTCAACTCATTGGGTCTCAGCACAATTACCACTTAAAACCAAGCAGGTATCCACTCATTATCTGTGCGTTTATCGCTATAGTTTCTTTATATTTGGGAATTTTAAGATCGGAGGCCCGTTTCCAAGTGACTTTTTTTTTTTTGCCGAATCTGCGTCAACATGGAAACGTCCAGAAGGTTGGAGAAACATCCAAGGTCACCTTTGCCGGCGCTCCCGCCCCATCCCCCCCCCCCCGACACGGAGCCGCCCTGACTCACGTTCCTGGGGTTCCCTCCTCGACCCCAGAAGGGGACAAGGGAACAAGGGGCGACGCCCGCCGGCTTCCCGCACCCTTGATCACGGACACTCAGCCCCCTCGATCACGGGCACTCAGCCCCCTCAGCCGGATTTCCCGTTCCCCACCGAGAGAAAAGGGAGTTAGGGTTAGTTAGGGTCAGGATTAGGGTTAGTCGGGGCAATTGAAGGCTCTGGCCGAACACCCTGAGCCGGAGCCCCACAGAGGACACCCCTCCCCCAACGCACACACACTCCTAAAACCGAGATTCTCTTCAGGAACCAGTTACGGGTTAAGGCAGAGCAGCCTGACGGCAGAAACGCTACTAAAAAACGCCACAATCCCTGCTGCTACTAATCGAAAACAAAAATAAAAACGGGCCAAGGCGAGGGAGCCCCGACGTTTCGGTGTGTCAGGCCGAGTGGGGGCGGGGAGAGAGGCGCTTCCCTCACAGACGGTAACCCCGTTCCCGGGCACCTCCACCCTCGCTACGGAGCCCGCGCTTTCTCCCCTAACATCCAAAAAGGCGGGATTTCAAAGAAAAGAAACCCCAGCTCTGAAGAAAGGCGCGAAAAGACCCCCTCCTCCACCCTCACCCTCAGCCGGAACCCGCCCCCTCTTTCCGGAAGGAGCGCCTTCGCGGCGCCTGCGCGCCCCGTCACTTAGCAACGTCGGCGCTCCGCGGCCAGGCGCCGCCCAGCAACAGCCGAGCCGCCGCGTCCGCCAACCAATCAGCGCCGACTTTGCCCTCACGGCTGACCAATGAACGCTGCTGCCTCAAGGAAGTTTCCAGAGCTTTCCAGTCCGGGCCCTTTCACTCGAATTCATCCGCTAGATATTTTTCCTATATTTTCCTAAAGGAGTGAAAGGAACGCTTGGAGAGTTAGGGGATAGATTTTTTAATATCCGTTTTTCCGGCAGGGAGCAATTTGGAGAGTCACTGGAAAGTCTCTCTGCGATGTGAGTGGCGGAACCGAGCGAACTACTTTCTTCGGCGCACGGAGACGCCGGCTGCGTAGTGGTGCGTAGTGACGCAGCCGGAGTTATATAAAAGGCAGCGCCGCCGCCTCATCTCGCAGAGGCGAGTGGCTTTGTTCAGGCGCCACACGAAGGTCATTCGGCCGTCTCATCCTTACTGCTCTTCCGGGACGTTCTAGCATTCGCTGAGAGGTACTGTGGTCCGGGGTCTGTGAGAGCGGCGGGCGGCGGGGCAGGGGATTGAGCGAGGTCGGGCTGGCGGGGTGTGGGAGCTGAGGGGGCCGGGTGGGGGAGGGGAAGGGCTGACGTGGCGCTGGGCCTTGTGAGGGGACGTGGGCGCGTGACGGGGCTGCGTGAGGGGGCTTTGTGAGGGGACGTGGGCGCGTGGCGGGGCCGCGTGAGGGGGCTTTGTGAGGGGACGCGGGCGCGTGAGGGGGCTTTGTGAGGGGACGTGGGCGCGTGACGGGGCCGCCTGAGGGGAGTTGGGGCGGCGGGCGCGCGCCCCGGCGGTCGCCAACCGACGCCTAACCGATGGCGATCCCGACGCGTCCGTTTCCGAGGGGGCAGGCGGAAGAGAGGTAGCGCTGTGTGTGTGAGAGAGATTGGGAAGACAGACTGGAAAAGCTGGACCGGCCATTCCCCAGTGTGACAAACGCTTCCTGCCTCTTTTCTGACGGCGGGTTTTTTTTTTTTCCTCTTTTTCCGCTACCCTCCGGCCATTAGGGTTTTCTGTTTCTGGTTGACTCAACACTTGGCTTTCCTTTGGGTCGCGGTGGGGTGGGGAATGAGCAGGGTGGGAGAGCAGTTATGGAACAAAGTGGGTGCTAGTTTAAAAGATTCTTACTTTCTACAACTAGTAACTTGAAATTTAAACCAACGGCAAAAACCAGACCTTTAAAACAACCGGGAACAAGGTGTTTTTGTTTTGTTTTTTAATCTTTGAAGGTTTGTTTAACAGCAAAGCTTTCATGTGCTGGTTCACTCTTCCATAGGCCACAACAGCCAGTGCCTTTTGCAGGGTGTTGGTACCAAGGGCGGCAGGTGTTGCTGCATTGCGGCACTAGTTTGCTGATCACAGATTAACAGCTCTAAAGGCAGTTTTCAAGGGAGAGTACTGATTTTGCAATATAAGTAATGTACTGACCATGAGATGCTGTTATCTCACTTGAAAATTTTAGATCAAGATGCAGATCTTCGTGAAGACCCTGACCGGCAAGACCATCACCCTGGAGGTTGAGCCCAGTGACACCATCGAGAACGTCAAGGCCAAGATCCAGGATAAGGAAGGCATCCCTCCCGACCAGCAGAGGCTGATCTTTGCAGGCAAGCAGCTGGAAGATGGCCGCACCCTGTCCGACTACAACATCCAGAAGGAGTCCACCCTGCACCTGGTCCTGCGCCTGCGAGGTGGCATGCAGATCTTCGTGAAGACCCTGACCGGCAAGACCATCACCCTGGAGGTCGAGCCCAGTGACACCATCGAGAATGTCAAGGCCAAGATCCAGGATAAGGAAGGCATCCCTCCCGACCAGCAGAGGCTGATCTTTGCAGGCAAGCAGCTGGAAGATGGCCGCACCCTGTCCGACTACAACATCCAGAAGGAGTCCACCCTGCACCTGGTCCTGCGCCTGCGAGGTGGCATGCAGATCTTCGTGAAGACCCTGACCGGCAAGACCATCACCCTGGAGGTCGAGCCCAGTGACACCATCGAGAACGTCAAGGCCAAGATCCAGGACAAGGAAGGCATCCCTCCCGACCAGCAGAGGCTGATCTTTGCAGGCAAGCAGCTGGAAGATGGCCGCACCCTGTCCGACTACAACATCCAGAAGGAGTCCACCCTGCACCTGGTCCTGCGCCTGCGAGGTGGCATGCAGATCTTCGTGAAGACCCTGACCGGCAAGACCATCACCCTGGAGGTCGAGCCCAGTGACACCATCGAGAATGTCAAGGCCAAGATCCAGGATAAGGAAGGCATCCCTCCCGACCAGCAGAGGCTGATCTTTGCAGGCAAGCAGCTGGAAGATGGCCGCACCCTGTCCGACTACAACATCCAGAAGGAGTCCACCCTGCACCTGGTCCTGCGCCTGCGAGGTGGCATGCAGATCTTCGTGAAGACCCTGACCGGCAAGACCATCACCCTGGAGGTTGAGCCCAGTGACACCATCGAGAATGTCAAGGCCAAGATCCAGGACAAGGAAGGCATCCCTCCCGACCAGCAGAGGCTGATCTTTGCAGGCAAGCAGCTGGAAGATGGCCGCACCCTGTCCGACTACAACATCCAGAAGGAGTCCACCCTGCACCTGGTCCTGCGCCTGCGAGGTGGCATGCAGATCTTCGTGAAGACCCTGACCGGCAAGACCATCACCCTGGAGGTCGAGCCCAGTGACACCATCGAGAATGTCAAGGCCAAGATCCAGGACAAGGAAGGCATCCCTCCCGACCAGCAGAGGCTGATCTTTGCAGGCAAGCAGCTGGAAGATGGCCGCACCCTGTCCGACTACAACATCCAGAAGGAGTCCACCCTGCACCTGGTCCTGCGCCTGCGAGGTGGCATGCAGATCTTCGTGAAGACCCTGACCGGCAAGACCATCACCCTGGAGGTCGAGCCCAGTGACACCATCGAGAATGTCAAGGCCAAGATCCAGGATAAGGAAGGCATCCCTCCCGACCAGCAGAGGCTGATCTTTGCAGGCAAGCAGCTGGAAGATGGCCGCACCCTGTCCGACTACAACATCCAGAAGGAGTCCACCCTGCACCTGGTCCTCCGTCTTCGGGGTGGCTATTAATTCATCTTATTGCCTAGTGCTGGTATTACTCAACTACAGCGTTTGCCCACCCCAATTTAAGTTTAGAAGTTACCAGCTTCAATAATGGCTGAATCTGTTCAAAATACTAATAAAGGTTTTGTTGCATGATAACCTTTTTGGTGTCTTGTCAATTCTGTGATGAGAGTGTGCAGTAGGGGGTGGTGTGGTGGTTTCAACTGAATCTTTGTAACTTAAATTATTTTATAGTGCTTTGTCCTTTGCTCCAAGCTACAGGTAATGGCAATGGGAAATTTAGTTATTAAAGGTTGGCTATTAACAGGGTACATTTATCTGCCAACTGCTTGCAGTGAGATTGTGTGTCACTGGTCAATCAATTTTGACACTTAAGTGACCAAGTTTGAAAGGGGGCTGGTTCTGGGAAAAAGTTGTTTGAAAGCACAAATAACTTCAAAAGTAGTTTCCACCTGTTTAATGATTAGTGACCATGCTAGCCTGGACCAGATGAAGCTGGAGGCAAGATCTCCATCCCATCCTGGTTTCCCAAGGGTTCAAATTTGGGGTATTAGTGCTCTGAGCACCTTAGACTGGGAAGTTCAAGCAGTGCTACGCCTGGGTGTTGGTGTCAAAGATGGCTTAACCTGTCCCAATGCAGGGTGCAAAAATGGCCTGGTGGTTTCAAATGGGAAATTGGAAAATACACAAAAGCAGCAGGTCAAGAATTGTATAGATTAGGGTTCTCGATGCACAAATCGTTAAAGGTACATTAAAAAATGGGAACTGGAAGGGTTTGAAAGTTTTAAGATTTTTATTGGAAAGGCAGATACATAGGAGAGACAAGTATCTTCCATCTGCTGATTCATTCCCTAAGTGACTACAACAGCTGCGCTGATCTGAAGCCAGGAACTTCCTCCAGGTCTCCAAGGCTTTGGGCAGTCCTCAGGCCACAAGGTAAGCCGAGCTGGTTCTGTAGGATCTGGCATGTGCAAGGTGAGGACTTTAGCCACTACTAGGCCACTGCACCAGGTGCTTCAAAGGTTTCTTTGTTTAAAATTGGAGGGGAAATTAGCCCTGTGTCCTGGGTTGGAAGTCAGTATAGGTAAGGTTGGCCTCAAGGCCAGGTCTCTCACAAGGGTGTGGGGGTCCCAAGGTATGGGATCATCTGCTTTCCTGGGCCACGAGCAGAGAGCTTCATGGGACGTGGAGCAGTTGGGACATGAACCGGTACCCATATGGGATCCCTATGCGTGCAAGGTGAGGATTTAGCCATGGAGCCATCACAGTGCCCCCAGAATGGTGATGAATTGGCAAGGCAGTTACAGGAGGAGAGCTGGAGAGATCTTGATCCAACCAAGGTGGCTGCAACAGCTGGAGCTGTGTGGATCTGAAGCCAGGAACCAGGAGCTTCTTCCAGGTCTGGTGCCAGAGTGCAGGGTCCCAAGGCTTCAGGCCACCTACTGCTTTCCCAGGCCACAGGCAGAGAGCTAGAGGGGAAGTGGAACGACAAGATTTTTAGTCACTAGGCTCCAGCCCCACGTTTTACGTAACAGCTGTGCTTCTGGACTTCCAGGTCAGCTTTCCATCTAGCATCAGCGTTTTCCTCAAACACCACATGTCCAAGAACATGGAATGTCCTGTGCTGTGAAATCAGACTGTTCAACTGAGTAGACCTAACGTTACCCAAGTCTGCTTCAACCGGAGTCCCTTAGGGCCTCAACACATTCTATTTTAGACTTCATTCCTTGCCTTGTAATTGGGCCTAAACTAAATGCAAACAGATGTTGATTTCTAGGAAAAGGATGGTAGGTTGAGATGAGCTGTACCTGATTTGTTCATGTTGCTGTCTTCTATTTGAACATAGTTGGGGTAGAGAATTCGTTCTCCAGCTAGTAAGTAGCCAGGAGTTCCCAGACAGCCATTGAAATTGATTCTGGTACTTCCTGTAGCCAGGTGACACCATTTTAGATGTCTCATTTTTTTCTCTAGTTTT